AGGTGGGAGGAGAGCGAGGGAGAGTTCAGTGCTGACCTTTCAGCTGCATTCAGGAATTTCAAGTTTTCTCATAATTTTTGTTAGTCATTCTGACTAAGCGACACTGTCTTTCTATAAGAGCTACGTTACACCTGTCTCTTCACTTGGACTGCCTTCCTAACAATCCAGCCTTCTTGAGAGACCCAAGTTCCAGTGTGTGTCGTCTGCCTCTGTCCCATTCCTGGGGCGTGCATAAGTTTACCCTCTCCCACACGGCCCCCATGGAGCACAGGGCAAATACTTGCCATTTGTAGCAATATATTTCCCCCTTTAGGTCTTAGAAACATTTCTCAAACACCTTCCTCTCACCTGTAGAGTCCCTCATATAGAGTAGAATGGATTGGATCAGAGGAAGGAGAAGGAACGAAAGATTAAAGTAAGGTGCCATTTTGTCTAGTGTTTTGGGGAGCAGACCACAAAGCAGTTAGATGGTTGGGGTTGGAAGGACCCCTTTGTTTGGTATCATTGGCATGTGCTAAGTGATAATTGGCCAGATGTCTTTTTCAGCTGATGTTTGGAATGCTGGGCATATTGGTAGACAGGTCAGAAGAGAGTGGAAGCTCTGCGAAGCCAGGAGAAGTGTGTTTGAGAACACAGGAGGCAGTAGAGCCCCGCTGTGCCTGCCTTGGGCTAACTAGGCTGCATCAGACACGTCGGGATTGGCTCAGGGTGTGTGGGCCTTGCCGTCCATTCTTGAGCAAACTGGAGGGCTCAGAGGAGTTCAGTCAGGATGGCAGGAGAACTCCAGCTTTGTCATAGCATGAATGGAGAGAACTGTTTCTTTTCACCTAGAAAAGAGCAGATTTAGTTAAGGGAAGACATCAGATGGTTGAAGTGCTGCCACAAGGAAGAGCAGCCGGCTTGTTCCTCTCCTGGCCTGTGAGGATAAGGGCCCGTGGACGGGGGTCACAGCAGGGCAAAGTTGGGGCCAGCATAAGGAAGAATGTTCACGTGTCCCTGAGAACTGAGCGGGTTGTCTTAGACGATTTCCTGGATATATTCACTTGCCCACCTCAGCTTCTGCTGTGTCATTGTAAGTCCTAGGTAAGAGAAGTAAGCACGCATCACATCTCCGTAAGCCTCCACAAAACTCTAACAAAGTTCAAATGGGCAGTCAAACACTCTTCATGAATTTATTACACCTTTGTGTTATACTCGGAGGCCCGAGACCATACCCTTGTAATGCATCTTTATAAGCTTCCACAGCACTAACATGCAAATGTTTTCAAAACACAAACACATGAAAAAAAGGCACACATCAGTAACATCACCAGTAATTTTCAAAAGCTCACCTGCCATCAGCGACCAAGCTAGTCAGTGGGAGTTTTGTTCTGTCTATGTCTATACTGCCTCATAAAGGATTCGGATTTGATCAAGATTCTTTTAGACGTGAGCATTGTTGGAATGGAACCCATAGTCTCACATTTCCTTTGTGTGTTTCATTGTCCTTTGATTTTTGAATGTATATCTAAGGGATTAAATTAAGCAGAAGCAAATGCTGCATCACTTTTGTGTGCAGCACTAGGGGTCCTCGGGTGTGCAGAAAGGAAGAGGATTAGAAAGAAGGAACGGCCAGGATGTATTCTGGGATGTGCCTTGTATATTTAGGGAGACACCCTCCTCCCCCATTGAAGTAACAAATGAACAATTTCAAATTAATCAAGGGCAAATTATGTGTATAATTTTAATCAGGAAAGTAGTGATACTGTCTCCGCTGGCGCATTCCGAAGACTGCTCAGAACTCCTGCATGTAGTAGGAATATGACTTGCTTGGGGAATATGACGTACTTGTAGAGGCTGCACAGGTTTCTTTAAGGAGCATGCTACTTTCTCTCGGTGTCCGCCTGCCTTTGGCCACAGGGACAGGTGGGTGTAGCTAAGGGATGTCTTAGAGGCCTAGGGGTTTCCGGGCCAGAGGAGAGGGAGTGTCGTTTTGTGGAGTACCGCCACCAAGGTTCTTTCCGTGTCCCGGGTGCTGCAGGCTACTGACCTAGCAAATCAAAAGCCCCACACATGTCATCTGCAGGTTCAGCATGCTGCTTTGTACTATTTGCGTGAAAGACACCAGTCTGGGTTGCATTCGGTGAGGAGTGCAAACGTGAAGCTGAAGGGAATGCATTGGGGTGCACACATCTGGGGGCTGCATTATTGTACACATGCACCCCCATTTCATTTAGGACTGTTTAAAGCCATACCTGCCACTGAAGCGACGGCATTGCACAGCCAGCTAGACTGTGCGTACTTTAAGTCTCTTCCAAAGAATCACATAATAAGTCGAATACACACACACACACACACACACACACACACAGCCTTTATGGAAAATGGCTGCTAATCCATGATCATTTTTTTTCCCCCAGAAACAGGTTTTATGATAATATAGTAAAAATATTAAATTAGAAAATGCCTCGCTAAGGGTGATAAAAACTTACTACACTAGAGATAGGTAATTATCCCCTCTACAGCCTAAATGACAGTTTAAAAGAAATAAAAATGTTAGTGCTCATTACTTGCTTTTGTAGGTTGCAATAAAGGGTAAGTTAAATTTTAATTCAAGGAAGAGCCCCTGCTATCGACCTTCTACCTTAGGTCCAAGTCCTGTTAATTACTCTGTAGGTTTTTCTCCTGCATGATACCAACATTAATACATTTTCTACCATGGACATTCCCACTGGCCATTGAGGCCAAGAGTGTGGGGGGAGGGGTAACAAAAGGGGGAAGGTATTTCAGCTCAGTGATTCAAATCTTGATTCTTCATGTGATGGGGAGCAGGAATTATGTATTTTTTAAAAAAACAAAACCCAAGTTCATTATGCATAGCCTTAAGGGGACCTCAAGCATTAAACTCTACACTTACCCCGGAGAATCAGATGGAGACAAGGTTAACCTGAAGGATTGATAGTTTAGCTTCTCTGCATGGTTAAATCCCAGTGAGGAAAGAGGCTGCAGGGGAAAATAGTCCGCTCAGCAGAAGGCAGTCTGACCCTCTGTCCCCTGGTGGCTTTTTGGTACCTAGTTTTATTTTTGGTTTTATTTTCCTTGGGATGGGGCAAAGGATATGGACGTATCCTGTTTCTCTTCAAGATGCCTTTACCTTTCTCTACATACTGGCACCAGATCTAGCACCTGTCTGGGTTTGGGACAAAGCTCAGTGCACCCTACATCTCAGTCTTCATCCTGGGGTGTGCAAGTAGGCACAGAGTTTTCAGGAATCCAGGCGCATGCTCCTTCCTGAAGTGGATCTGTCTGTCAGGTTGCCTGGGCTGGAGCTGCAATTCTTTTTACCTTGCGGGTCACAGCTGTCCTCCACCCACCTGACACAAAGCTCACTTGAACGCCTCCTTGCTCTGACCTGGGACACTGCTGTGGAGTGGGGAAAAGCTACAGGCTCCACACAGAAGGACGGGTCAGAATCTCGGTGCACTGATTGAGGACAGTGGTGACTAGAGGGCTGGTAACGAGTCCCTGCTGGTCCCTTGGTTCCCAGGCCTTTATTTTCAACAAAATTGCAGGAGAACCTAATTGAGTTGTCAGCTGGTAGATCATTAGAACTAATTTTTGGTGGTAGGTTACTATGTGATTTTTTTTTTTGGCATGTAATTCAGAAAGAATTAAAAGAATTAAGTGACACTGCTGTAACAACTCTCTCATTCCCATCTACTAGTTTATGTGAGTCTCTCAGCACTTGTGTCTACAGAAACCAAAAACAGGAAGAGAATCAGTGCTGACCCCTCTTTCATTCCAGCAATAGATAATATTCATCCACAAACACAGGAATGAATGAGGGGGAAAGCCTCATCCATATCGTCTAGAGATGCATTTCCAGTAATGTTTGACGTATCTCTGTAGATTGAATTTTTATCAAAATTATAATGTTTTATTATATTGTTATTGTAGATATGATTGTGTCCTAATAATTGTAATGATAACACAGTCCAGAAGTAATTTTTAAAAATTACTTAGAGCTTTATTGTCTCAAGAAATTAAAATATTTTACTTCAACTTTTAAATTTCAAAAAGTGTTTCAATTTACATACTTAGTTTTGTGGCCAACAAGTATGATAGGGTGATCAATAAAAGACTTTCAAGCATAAAACAATTATATTAGGACAAAAATCTCTAGGGGAAAGTCAAATGAAAATACATGTTTAAAAAGAAAAAGATGCTGTAAAATTTCCAAGTTAAAGAGTTTGTTTATGTGTTATTTAAATGAGTGATGATGGGCATCAAATCAATATGGCATATAGATTCCGTTGGGTGTATTACAAAAGGGATGTAAGAGTTTTATTTTAAAAGTTAGTATTCACAACATTCTGGTAATTATATCCTTTGTGACTTTTGAATTTATAGAGAAAAATTGTATATCTCAACTTAAAAATATGTGAGGGGGCCGCGTGGTTTTGTATAGTTCTGTCAGGGGAGTGTTCAGAGGAGTTCAAGGCCCTGGACCCCAGACTCCACCCTCAGTGGCCTTGGTTTTGCCCAGCTCTGCCCCTGGTGGGTGGTCAGTGGGTGGGAGGTCCAGCCAGCACAGAGTCCCTGCAGGGAACAAGAAGTGCTGGAACCCTGCTGAGCAGTCGGAGTCTAGGGGCCTTCATCCTGGCAGTGATCGTGGACTCGAGGCGGGTCTGTTTCGTCCATGTTTAGAGTCGGGGCTGGGCTGAGGGAACTGGAGAGGGGAGGAAGAGAAGAAGGGGGCAGGAAAATCGGTTAGGAGGCTGTCACCATATATCTTGGCAAGAGGTGGTGAGATCTGAAATACTGGGGTCCTGGAGGAGCTGGGGAGCTTGAGGTGCTTTGAAGGCACAGTCCCTGACTGGTGGTAGCGGGCGACGAAGGCATAGAGCTGGAATTACTCGGGGATTTGTAGATTGGAATAATCCCTTACTCATATTCTCTCTCTCTCTCTCTCTCTCTGTCTCTCTCTCTGTCTCTGTCTCTCTCTGTAAAAATATTTTAAGAACCCAGACCACTCAGCTTTCCAAGTTCCTTTGCCATGAACAGCCGCATATGTTTGTCAGCTTTGCCCACCTGAGTGTGAAATGATGTTCTATCAAAACATGGGTTTCAGCATTTCACTCTCTGCTCCTGACATGTGAACCCCGCTGCGGACAGTAACTGCTGCCTTGGCCCAGGCGTCTCTGCTGTTTCGGCGCCGAGTGGAAGCACTTGCTCAGTGGTAATGATGGGGTCTGATGCAAGCAGGCGAGGCGAGGCCGGACGGGGTATGATTGCGAAGGCTAAATAGCGTGTGCCTCTGCATTTCCTTCATCGGATGCTGGGTCTTAAAGTCATACCATCCTTTTTTGTCATGGCCACTCTCCCCGTAATGCCATTTAATTTTTTTGTTGAAATGGCTGGAGGTACTTGTACTTCCTGGCAGATAGGCAGGCCATAGCGTGATCAAGTGAGGCCTGGGCGGTTGCTGCCATTGCTTATGCGATGGAGCTGCTGATTGGGAGGCCCCTGGAAGGGAGGCTGCCTGCCTCTCTCTGCATTTGGTATGAAGCTGCTTTCCACCTTTGTGCACTGGCTCTGGCTGCCTGGGGGCTGGCGGAGGGTGAGTCAGGCCCTGGAAAGTAGAGGAGGAACAAAAGAGATGGTGGAGCCCAGGGGGAACTCGCCTTCTTTGTCTGGAGGCTCAGGGGCTAGTTGGTGGTACAGGGTCCAGGCGCCAGCACATTCTTGCGGTGGAATTCCTGTGATGATACTGGAGACCCACTGCTTCCTGGCCTGCACTTTCCCTGTCTGCCCTGTGGTCCCCAGAACGATATGGTTAGTTTACATTCTTGGCTTCTGCAGTTTCTTCTTTAAGATTTTCCCTTTTTAAAAAGTTTTAATATGCGATTCCTGTTGCCGGAGTTTCTAATTACAGTACCTCTGTTTCTACCCTCACCTTTAACGGGGAGACTTCAATAACAGGCTGTTAAGTTTTTATGTTCAAGTCTTGCTGAACCACAATTGCTGTTTGAAGGGTGGGGTTTTGTTGTTGTTGTTGTTGTTGTTTTATTTTGAAAGTCAGCTTTGCTGGTGATGACGCTCAGATAATGAGAGCACTTTTAAAAGCCTGTTTTCTTAACAAGAACGGCAGGCTATATTTAATGGTTCGATCTTGAACCTATAAAACAGAGCAGGCACAGCTTCCTTTTGGGGTCGTTTACTCACTGCCCATGGCCCTGGCCTGGCCTGCGCATCCTCCTTCCCCGAGGGTTAGTGGCTGACCTCCGTGCACATGCTGCGCGGATCACCCGCCCCGCTGGCCGAGTGTCCTCCCCGGCCCGCTCCCTAGTGGGTTTGACCTGCCTGGACCCTTGTGGATCCTCATCTCTCTGCTAGAGAATCTGCTCTCTCGCCACAGGGCAATGTTTTCTGGAGCTTCTGTCACAGTGGTAGGAGGGATTCCCACCCCCAGCCCTCTTGTTTAGATTTTCCAAGCCTTGACGGGTGACGGACTGGCCAGGTAGTTGTGTGTATGTGGCATTTGATAGCAGAAACAGGTTAGAAGTTTGTTTACTTTGTTTTCAAGGACCCAAGAGCCTAGCATGTTATGTTTTTCCTTTTAACATCAAACCCCAACTTTAGAAATAATAAATTAGCCCACCAAATTATCTATTAGATAGAGAATAGAGAAAAGGGGCCAGGGGAGTGGGGAAGAACCTTGGTTCTGCTACTGAGTAGCTGCACGTGTGGTAGTAATTGGAATCTTGTTGCTGGGTCATTTTCATTGTTTTTCAAGTACTGCCAAGTCCAAGAAAATGTATGAAAACTAAATTATATCCCCCTACATCCCATGTCTGATTGAATCCTCCTCATCGTGTGGCAGTCGCATACATCCTATTAAAATATTCAATCTTGTTTTCTTCCTTGAAGAGCCTGTCTGTAAAGGGCAAACTTACAGAAAACTCATTCCCTCCAGACAGGGTATCCAGCCACACTGGGCTATTTACATATTTTACTATTTGATTGGCTTCTCCCAGGTTTCTTCTTTTCTTTGTATTTGTGAATAAGAGCTGTGGGATGCATTTTTAATTACACAGCCATGTTTTCAACTGAACAGACAGATTGGGGTATTTCCCAGCTTCTTAATTCTTTTTTAACCTTGAGAAGTTAACCAGTGTGTTAACCAATTTGTTTTGTTTGTCTTATAGGACAGAGTTGTATCGATCTCTTTTTGGCCAGCTCAACCCTCCTGATGAAGGCCACGGGGATTGACAGCGCCCATCTCTCTTGCTGCGGGCCCGGCGGCAGGGCCTGGGCACCCCCGGCAGCACCTTGGCAGGTCGGCTGCTCATCCAGCCCCAGACGGAGGAACCCAGGGGCCTGTGGGGTTGAGTGAGTTCGGAGACCCCTGGGAAGGTGTGCTGTTCAGAACACATGCCGAACAAGTCCCAGGAAGCCTGGGATCAAGTGCCTGCGTCTCCAGGGCTTCGGTGTGCGAAGGGCCCCTCCCCCACGTCCTTTCACCACCACAAATAAAGAGTATTGTCACTGCACTGCCGTGTGTGATTTCTTAAGCAGCACGGAGTGAAGTCTGATTTAGGGCTCTAGCAGGGTGGCAGGTTTGTTGTGACAGTTTTCATTTTCTTCCTAGCCAAACGGCCTCCTCTTCCAACATAAAACTTCACAGAAAGAATCATTCTGTGGCGGGTGCTGCTTTCTGGGTGGGCGATGTTTAGAGAGGAGCAGGGAATCCCCCAAATCGTATACGCTGTGCCCAGGAGGCATGTGCCTATTTGTTGCTGAATACAGATCTCTGGTTTCTTTTTTGTTCCCTCTTTTCACCCATAAAGATTCTCCCAGAGTCCTTTTCCATTCTCACCATTCCTAAATCACTTTATTGAGATTAGCTTTGGTGTAAATCTAGCAGGAGGAAATGATTCACTTGTTTTTCATCCAAAGGTCAAAAGCTGGAAATTAAATCCCCATAAGGGGGATTTATTGGCCTGCTGTGGTCAATATGCAATGAAGATTATCTTGCATAAGTAATGTGTGTGGACCAGAGGACGGGATTGACCATCTCCTGGGTACTTTGCCCAAATCTTTACTCAAAGCTACCGAATTAGAGAAGAAATTTTGCATCCAGGCAACTGAGTTCAGTTGTAGTTAATAACTAGCCATTGTTTTTAAAGTCAGATTTTGATACTGTTGTAAAATGTCAAAACCAAGTGAAAGATTTCTGTGCCCAGGAATGCCACGTATCATTGACTTGGTATCTGGGGGCCGCTGCCGATCGCCTAAAGGCTGGGCTCCAAATGAAGTGAGTCCTGAATGTAATCTGCTTCACAGTTTAGTACGAGCATCAGTGTGTCTGCTGAGCTCAGGATGGGGCAAATGCGGGGAGGAAGGTTTTTCCATCGCACATTAATTGGACCTTGGAACGTGCTGATTTGTTTTTCTTGTCTCCGGTAGTTACCTCTTGGGCTTGACTGTCAAGGAAATGTTTAATTTTCAGTGTGTCTCCAGTTACCCAAAAGATCAATCAACAGAAATAGGAGCGTTCCCCTGCACTCACTCCCTTCAAAATGATCACTGTTTAAAATATAGAACATCCAGTCCTATCCATCTAGCCTGAGGAGTCCACATATTGCACGTTAGAACAGCAAGTGAGTAACCTCTTCACATCACACTTCCGGTAAGCTTCATGCTAACCCATGCTGCCTTAAGAGAGAGAACCTTTGTCATCGTCACTCTTTATCTGATGAAGAAAAGGACTTAAACAGGTACTTGAAAATATTTGTAGTTTAACCTGTTTAATTAAAATGAATTAAAATCAGGAGAGATGAGAAAGAGTGGACAGAATTTCCAGTAAAGGGCGGCTTGCAGTTTAAAATTCAGAAGACCGCCCTCCTTCCAGCCAAGAATAAATTGGAAACTATTTTAATTGACACGGATACTGCAATTCAACTGTTACTCGAAAGACAGATTAGTTGATTGATTTGCATTTTAATAAAACTAATACTTTACATGTTGGTAGCTAATGCTGATTTTAAATGAGTTGAGGACTGTTATCTAGAGTTTCCATCCAGAGCCCTTTTTCAGTGTTGACTGAAGCATCCCTCCCTTTTGTGTGGAGTTTGCTTATTTTCTTTTTGCCCAGCTGACTACTTAACGCATGACACTCATAAACCACAGACCTTGAAGACCTCATCAGCACAGCGAGGCAGTGAACTTGTCACAACGCCCACCCAGCCCAGGTTCACACCAGAGAAGTAGAAGGAACAGATGAAAGTGAGACTCGGCTGCAATCCCACCACCCCGAAATACCCACTTCTGGTTATTAACATGTCGTACTCACACCCCTTCTCTGTGCAGATGCCATCATACCCAGTAGCCCCATCTCTCCCTGGCAGAGGGGCAAGGGAGCAGTGCGGGTGGAAGACTTGGTTTTTATTTCTAGGCTGTTTGAGATTGTTTACTTACCCTTTTAAAAACAATAAAAATAAAATACCATGTAGCCATGCCTGCCACCTTCCCCTCCACCAGTTGAGAACCAGTAGTACATAGTATAATTCTGCATTTTCATATTAGTAGTACAGTAAAAGATCATTTTTATGTTTTTGCAGATACCATGTAAGTATTTTAATTGCTAACTAATAATTCCATTTGGGGCATGGCTCTTCATTACTTAACCAAATTCCCTGTCACTTGAACATTCAAATTATTTGCTATTATGAATAATGTTACAGGAAAATATTTGGACATAAAGCTTGTTTATTGCCTTTTGAAATTATTGTTTTCCTTGCCATATATTTTTAGGAGTAAAGTGAACCAAGTGAAAGAGTCCAAATATTTTGAAGGCTCTTGGTACGCGTGACAGAGGCTTGTTTTAGGGCCCTTGCTCACTTCTGACTTGCCTGAGGCTGGGCCATCTGCAACAAAGGGTTTTGAGAGGCAGAGTGGAGACTGGCCCTGGAATCTGGGTCTGGGGGTTATTTCTTGCTCCCCAGGGAACCCTTCAAATCAGCATCCTCCTCTGGGAGAATGAAAGAGCCGGCAATGTGCTTTGAGATGCTCCCATGAAAGATGGTAGATAAATAGAAAGTGACACCATCATCTCCCTCCCTGGCCCCCATATCTTTTTCTGCTGCTAGATCGCATCTAGTTTGCTCTCCACTCGCCCCTCTGGTGTTCATGCCCTTGCTGCTGCTTGCTCTCAGTGCCTTCATCCTCGGGATCTCTCAGGTGGCTTTTCCTTGCCTTGTGTGGGGTTGCATTCCTCCCAGCTGCTCTATACTGTTTTTGGTGTGTAGCCCCTTTCTCCGGGGTCACATCCAAGATAGCTTAGTGAGCATCATTTGGAAACCCTGAGAGCCAACAACGCAGGGAAAGGCAGCCCCAGTCCATTCAGCAGCAGACTCTGCATCTCCAGTTTGGAAAGAAAAAGAGTTTCTTTCTAGAGGTTGATTTTCCTAGGTTCTATGTGCATTGCTAAGACCTCTCCAAGATGACTGCCTCTTTACCTCTTACCATTCATCTAAAATAAGCTGAATTTGAGGCTCAGAATGAATCAAATGTGACATTCATCATAAACCTTGGTGCCATTCCCCAGGACGTAGCAGTCACTCTGTAAATGGAATGTGTTGATGCCAAGATCCGTGTCTTCCTGGGCCAGACTCACAAACGAGGTAGCCATATGTCTCAGCAAAAAAGCAAATACAGACAGCACAGGTAGAGGATGTCCCGGATAGACCAGCCTGAGGCTTTGGGTACAGAAGTGTGTTTTATGCCAGGGTAGCTGGCTGGCCCTCTGGTGACACCCTGAGAGTGCCCTCCTGTGCACTTGTATTTAATGAAGGCAAATACAAGCAGTGAGCCTTGTTTTCTGCATCTGAGTTTGTGTTTTTACTTTTAAGATGTATGTATGTAGTTGTGTATTGGGGGCAGTTGTGCTAGGAATTAAATTGAGCTTGCTTTAGTCTTTTTTTTTTTTTTAAAGCTTATCTACCTCATTTTCTTTCCATCTTTTAAAACTTTCTCTTTCTTCATAACATTTCAAAAATAATTGCCTGTAATTTGGTAAGTTCATTAACTAATTCTCTCTGAAGTCCAGGGAATCCATATTGCCCTGCTGGTTTGTGTGTATTCAATTTGGCCCACGGCTCTATTGATGAAGTCCTCATTACCGCCCCTTGCCTGTGGAGGAGAGAGATGGTGTAAGTGCACAGTGTGCATGCCTTACCTAACTTTTGTTTTCGTGTTTCTCGTTTATAGATTTCCTTTACCGTGCCTTTCTTTCCCATCGTGTGGGGTCTTGCCAATAGGGTCATTGCCTCGACTGCATTTATATTCCTGAGACGTTTGCTTGGCTTATTTCCCCTCGTTCAGGGTTCTCAGTTCATTTGTTGAGGTCAAGGACACTGAATTCTCAGGAAAGAAAACTTAAAAGAATGTTAAAAAAAAACCAACAACCACCAAAAAAACAATCCCACATCACTGATAGGGTAGAGAAAGAATCTCAGGTCCCCAATAGGCACTGAGATGGTGACACATAAAGATTCCTGCCCACCCTTATCCCACCCCGTCTTCCTCTTTATGGCTGGGCTGGAAATGTGCTCTGGGCGTGCAGGTTCCCTGTCACAGGGGGCTGGCTGCATCCTCTTCTCTGGTCCTCCCTTCCCCCAACGTACGTAGGTGCTGTATTTATTTAGGGGTGTCTTACCCGGTTCTAATGGAGACTTGGAGGCACATAGCTAGTCCTGGATTGAACTTATGTGATGTTTGGAATAAAGGACACATAGGTGAAAGGTGGAGTAGTGGAAAGACTCCGGGACTAAAAATCAAACCTGCTAGGGTGTGACCTTGAGGATGGCTTTTGGACCTCTGGCTGCAGGAGTCCTCACAGTAATATGAGGGTCAGCTGAACTGGCTTCTGGGACCTTCCTGATCTAAAGCAGCTGCTTCTAAGTCAAGAGTGGTAGAATTGGGGTAGCACAGGTGAAAGAAGGTTTTCCACATCCATTCATTCATGGATTTATTGCCCTCCTGCTGTGTGCCAGGCACTGCTGGGAGCTTAGCAAAGGGCTGTATTGGGCAGGCAACACAGGTGGGTCTCTGCTCTCTATTGTAGAGTTCTGCACACTCTAGCTCGGGTCTGATCAAACCTGTTACATCCACTAGAGTTGCCTGTATGAAACCTGGCTGGTCTTCCTAAAAGCCGAGGCTCTGAGCCCTTTTCAGGCTTGGCATCACATTCCCCAGATTCTTGTTTCTCCAAGGTGAGAGAGAGCTCAGCCTGGCAGGAGGGCAGGAACCCTGGTGCTCTGGGGCACTTCCTCCTGGGGCTCTGATGCAGGCCAGGTGCATTAGTATGCAGGTGTGGTTGATAGCCTGCACGAAGCAATTAGCCGGCTGCTCTGTGATTTCCGCCTCTCCACGGTGAGGGCGGCTGGGAGCTGTTCCTTTGCCTCGTGGCCAGTTGCCTTCCTCTCTCTTGTGGGGAGTCCTGGGGCGCCCAGGAGAAGCCTCTTCTAATGCTAGAGTATCCACAGCATCT